AATGCAAGCTCTAGTTCACACAGAAACGCTCATTGCACATTTGTTGTATAATTTTAGTTATCATACTGCAATTTGGTTTTTGCTTTCGCAGTTCTCTTGGAGAAAATAAAGAAATAGTGCTTTTAGCCCATCCATCACTGTACATCTATTCCACAAAATGGTGGCTCGTTAATAATATTCATTGCTAAACGCTGCATTGGTGGGAAAGGTCTATAAGCAAGCTGTTCTTATTCTGAAAAATCCCTATGCCCATGGTTTTTCAAATAAGTCACTCCCAATTTTTATAACATTTTCTATGCATACATGTGTATATGCTATTAGCCACATGTAATTCATTCCAACGTGTTACAAGCCTCAATGAATATCATTATAGTCCAACCCACGATAGCCTTGTAGATACATATTACGTATCTCATTCTCTCTCCTTCATTAGAATGGTTCTATATTGGAAGGATTATTATTATGGAAGAGTAATCTTGATAAACATTTTGCTGGTTTGGATGACTGCATGATATGCTTCAGTATCATTCATGGATCTACTTATTCACTACCTAAAATGATATGCAGAACTTGCAAGAAGAGATTCCATTCATCATGTCTGGTAAGGTAGTACATGTACATGTATTTTATTGAGTGTTGATACAGTGAATAGATATTACACTCATTTGTTCAGTTATTATTTATTTTGTTACTTTTTCCTTTCAGTATAAATGGTTCAGTACTAGTAACAAGAGCAGTTTTCCTCTCTGCAGGAACATTTTCTAATTTATTTTTATTTGTAAAATTTTAATCTTCATTATTCAATGTCTGAAAATTTTAATATATAGCTGTTTTAATGTAATGCAAGTTATGCAACCCTAACTGCACCCCTTATCAGTGCACTTCATCAAAAGAAACCTACTGTACAGTAAATTATGCTAAAGTTGTACTATAGTGTGGGTGTAAAAAGGCACCACCGGTTTATGTAGCGGTGACCACAGGATCAGGGGGTAGTTATAGAAGTGTCATCTAACTGCCAATACTTGTAGTTAGACAAATTCAGTGACAAAGAGAGAGACCAACCATATACAGTCTAAACAGTTACAATTATAATTATTACAACTACAAATAACAATAATTATTTTATCTAATAAACAACAAGTCTGTAATTAAAAAAATCGCAAACATACAATAATCCATCTTCATCAAATGCTAATCCAGTAAGATACATGCAATTATCGCCTCTCATTCCAAACTTCCTAACAAACACACCATCACTAGTGAAGACTGATATACAGTTATTGCAGTCACTAACATACACTAGACCAGTAGCTGCAGTGTCTATTGTTATACCTCTTGAACCATTAAGCTGTCCAGGACCAGATCCATAAGTACCAAACTGACCCACAAACTTTCCATCTGGAGAGAACTTCTGAATGCGATGATTATCACTATCAGTAACATACACTAATCCTTGACTATCAAAAGCAATGTCGCATGGATACTGAAACTGTCCATTAGCTGATCCTTTACTACCAAACAAATGAGAGAAGGTTAGATCAGGATTCAAGACTTGTATACGATGATTACCATTATCAGCAATATAAACCTGTCCTGTTATAGAAGAAATGGCTATACCAAAAGGACTATTGAATTGTAGTGGTCTACTGCCCTTCTCACCAACTGATGCTATAAGGTATCCATCCATGCTTATCTTCTGGATCCTGTGATTGTCAGATACAAGAATGAAGTTGTCTGGAGTAATGGCTACACCACAAGGACAAGAGAATTGAACATTACCACTTCCTCCTTCCCCTCCTAATGATTTCACTTTCTTTCCTTCTCTATCCAGTATTGTTACACAGTGACCATAAGACTCAGTTATTATAACATGATTATCATCACTTACAGCAACTCCCCAGGGATACTCAAGCTCAGTTATAGAACGTACTGGAGTGATGCTATTAAGGTAAGGATTGAAAGGGATAAATAGTGAGGTATCTTCAAGGTGTACATCATATACTTGTACCTTTACTGTATAAGTACCACGTGTTGAAGGGTTACACTGTATCCTATACACTCCAGGATCAGTGCTGGTGACTGTAGTGTCAATGGGTTGATCACCTTTACCAACTGGTACTAGACTACACCTCAGAGAAGAGAGGGGAACACACAAAACAGATGAATCTGGTGCCTCAATTGATAGTGAAAACAAAACTGCTTTGCCAGCAGGTGTACTACGATCAGTCTTCTTCACACTACACTGCCGTAGTGCAGTAGTCCCTGAAATAATATCTCCAATGTGATGTAGCGATTTGATATTTTTATTCAATAGAAAGTCGGCTTTTTCCTTTGGATGTAACTTCTCAACATTGATTACTGTAGTAACTTCACAGTCTTCACTCATACGCTCCATCATCTGTTTCTTAGACCTCAGGACTTGTTGAGGACTGCCTGTATTCAGACTCTGTTCCACATAATTCTCAACATCCTCCAGAACACTCAAACTCATTTCTGCTGATTTCATTTGCTCTGACAGCACCTTTAGTTTATCATCAGTGACCCTCTTTGCCTGCTCAGTCAGTTTCCTCTCTGACTCACGAAGAACAGCAATCATTTCCTCTACCATTTCATGTATTTCTTCTAAGACTACTTCTCCTCTCTCTCTGATC